GGTCAGTCCACTGTTTGTGTGTCACTCCACTGGTTGTCATTCCACAGGTTGTGTCAGTCCACTGGTTGTGTCAGCCCACATATTGTGTGTCAGTCCACTGGTTGTGTGTCAGTCCACTGGTTGTGTGTCATTCCAGTGGTTGTGTGTCAGTCTACTGGTTGTGTGTCAGTCCACAGGTTGTGTCAGTCCACAGGTTGTGTCAGTCCACTGGTTGTGTGTCACTCCACTGGTTGTCGTTTCACAGGTTGTGTCAGTCCACTGGTTGTGTCAGCCCACATATTGTGTGTCAGTCCACTGGTTGTGTGTCAGTCCACTGGTTGTGTGTCAGTCCACTGGTTATGTGTCAGTCCACTGGTTGTGTCAGTCTACAGGTTGTGTTTCAGTCCACTGGTTGTGTGTCAGTCCACTGGTTGTCATTCCACAGGTTGTGTCAGTCCATTGGTTGTGTCAGTCTACAGGTTGTGTCAGTCCAGTGGTTGTGTGTAATTCTAATGGTTGTGTGTCAGTCCACTGATTGTGGGTCAGTCCACTGGTTGTGTGTCAGTCCACTGGTTGTGTGTCAGTCCAATGGTTGTCATTCCATAGGTTGTGTCAGTCCACTGGTTGTGTCAGTCCACAGGTTGTGTCAGTCCACTGGTTGTGTCAGTCCACATATTGTGTGTCAGTCCACTGGTTGTGTGTCAGTCCACAATTTGTGTCAGTCCACAAGTTGAGTGTCAGTCCACTGGTTGTGTGTCAGTCCACAATTTGTGTCAGTCCACAAGTTGAGTGTCAGTCCACTGGTTGTGTATCAGACCACCCGGTTGTCAGTCCACTGGTTGTGTGTCCAGTGGTTGTGTGTCATTCCAGTGGTTGTAGGTAAGTCCACAGGTTGTGTGTCAGTCTACAGGTTGTGTCAGTCCACGGATTGTGTCAGTCCACTGGTTGTGTGTCAGTCCACATGTTGTGTGTCAGTCCACTAATTGTGTGTTAGTCCACTGGTTGTTTGTTAGTCCACTGGTTGTGTGTTAGTCCACTAGTTGTCAGTCCACTGGTTGTGTGTCAGTCCACTGGTTGTGTGTCAGTCTACAGGTTGTGTCAGTCCACGGATTGTGTCAGTCCACTGGTTGTGTGTCAGTCCACATGTTGTGTGTCAGTCCACTAATTGTGTGTTAGTCCACTGGTTGTTTGTTAGTCCACTGGTTGTGTGTTAGTCCACTAGTTGTCAGTCCACTGGTTGTGTGTCAGTCCACTGGTTGTGTGTCAGTCTACAGGTTGTGTCAGTCCACGGATTGTGTCAGTCCACTGGTTGTGTGTCAGTCCACTGGTTGTCAGTCCACTGGTTCTGTGTTAGTCCACTAGTTGTGTGTTAGTCCACTAGTTGTCAGTCCACTGGTTGTGTGTGTTAATCCACTAGTTGTCAGTCCACTGGTTGTGTGTGTTAGTCCACTAGTTGTCAGTCCACTGGTTGTGTGTGTTAGTCCACTAGTTGTCAGTCCACTGGTTGTGTATGTTAGTCCACTAGTTGTCAGTCCACTGGTTGTGTGTGTCAGTCCACTGGTTGTTTGTTAGTCCACTAGTTGTGTGTTAGTCCACTAGTTGTCAGTCCACTGGTTGTGTGTGATAGTCCACTAGTTGTCAGTCCACTGGTTGTGTGTGTTAGTCCACTAGTTGTCAGTCCACTGGTCCTTATGTTAGTCCACTAGTTGTCAGTCCACTGGTTGTGTGTGTCAGTCCACTGGTTGTGTCAGTCCACTGGTTGTTTGTCAGTCCACTAGTTGTGTGTGTTAGGCCACTAGTTGTCAGTCCACTGGTTGTGTGTGTCAGTCCACTGGTTGTGTCAGTCCACTGGGTGTGTGTTTGTCAACTGGTTGTGTGTGTCAGTCCACTGGTTGTGTCAGTCCACTGGTTGTTTGTTAGTCCACTAGTTGTGTGTTAGTCCACTAGTTGTCAGTCCACTTGTTGTGTGTGTCAGCCGACAGGTTGTGTGTCAGTCCACTGGTTGTGTGTTAGTCCACTGGTTGTGTGGTAGTCCACTGGTTGTGTCAGTCCACTGGGTGTGTTAGTCCACTAGTTGTCAGTCCACTGGTTGTGTGTGTCAGTCCACTGGTGTTGTGTCAGTCCACTGGGTGTGTGTTAGTCCACTGGTTGTGTGTGTCAGTCCACTGGTTGTGTCAGTCCACTGGTTGTTTGTTAGTCCACTAGTTGTGTGTTAGTCCACTAGTTGTCAGTCCACTTGTTGTGTGTGTCAGCCTACAGGTTGTGTGTCAGTCCACTGGTTGTGTCAGTCCACTGGATGTGTGTTAGTCCACTGGTTGTGTGGTAGTCCACTGGTTGTGTCAGTCCACTGGGTGTGTTAGTCCACTAGTTGTCAGTCCACTTGTTGTGTGTGTCAGTCCACTGGTTGTGTCAGTCCACTTGGTGTGTGTTAGTCCACTGGTTGTGTGGTAGTCCACTGGTTGTGTGTTAGTCCACTATTTGTGTGTTAGTCCACCAGTTGTGTGTTAGTCCACTGGTTGTGTGTCAGTCCACTGGTTGTGTGTCAGTCCACTAGTTGTGTGTCAGTCCACTGGTTGTGTGTTAGTCCACTAGTTGTGTGTTAGTCCACTAGTTGTCAGTCCACTGGTTGTGTGTCAGTCCACTGGTTGTCAGTCCACTGGTTCTGTGTTAGTCCACTAGTTGTGTGTTAGTCTACTAGTTGTCAGTCCACTGGTTGTGTGTCAGTCCACTGTTTGTCAGTCCACTGGTTCTGTGTTAGTCCACTAGTTTTCAGTCCACTGGTTGTGTGTTAGTCCACTAGTTGTGTATTAGTCAACTAATTGTCAGTCCACTTGTTGTGTGTCAGTCCACTGGTTGTCAGTCCACTGGTTCTGTGTTAGTCCACTAGTTGTGTGTTAGAACACTAGTTGTCAGTCCACTGGTTGTGTGTCAGTCCACTGGTTGTCAGTCCACTGGTTCTGTGTTAGTCCACTAGTTGTCAGTCCACTTGTTGTGTGTCAGTCGAGTGGTTGTGTGTCAAGTGGTTGTGTGTCAGTCCACAGATTGTGTGTCAGTCCACTGGTTATGTGTTAGTCCAGTGGTTGTGTGTCAGTCTACAGGTTGTGTGTCAGTCCACAGGTTGTGTCACTCCACTGGTTGTCAGTCCACTGGTTGTGTCAGTCGAAAGGTTGTATCAGTACACTGGTTGTGTCACTCCACAGGTTATCAGTCCACTGGTTGTGTGTCAGTCCACAGGGTTCTGTGTCAGTCCACGGGGCTGTGTGTCAGTCCACTGGTTGTGTGTCAGTCCACGGGGTTTTGTGTCAGTCCACGGGGGTTGTGTGTCAGTCCACTGGTTTTGTGTCAGTCCACAGGTTGTGTCTCACCCCACTGGTTGTGTCAGTCCACAGGTTGAGTGTGAACAGTGACACGGTATGTAAGCAGTGACACGGTATGGCCAGTCCGGACAGGAAAGGAATAAACTGCTATGTTGTCTTATATGGGTCACAGGACGACCAAGGCGACTGGTTGTCTGTGGTGCGTCCATCTTCAAAGGCTGTTCACATCAACGTGACAGTACCGCTGCATGAAAGAGAGACACCGTATTCCCAGTAGACTCATTTAACTGAGAGAGCAAACTCTCCACAACTTAAAGTGTCGGTATTAAACGATTGCATGGCTTCTTACAACCAAGATTTAATAAACAGAGTTGGAGAAGGAACCATTTGTATTGATGCGTATTGGATAAAAACTGTGTCAGCTTGCACATGTTGTTCCTGGTGGTTCCTGTTGGTTCTGGGTGGTTCCTGGTGGTTCTTGTTGGTTCTGGGTGGTTTCTGGTGGTTCCTGGTGGTTCTGGGTGGTTTCTGGTGGTTCTGGGTGGTTCCTGGTGGTTCCTGGTGGTTCTGGGTGGTTTCTGGTGGTTCCTGGTGGTTCTGGGTGGTTCCTGGTGGTTCCTGGTGGTTCTTGGTGGTTTTCTGGTGGTTTCTGGTGGTTCCTGGTGGTTCTGGGTGGTTCCTGGTGGTTCTGGGTGTTTTTTGTTGGTTCCTGGTGGTTCTGGGTGGTGTCAGTCTTCATCGAAAACATTGCCGTGAGCGGGAAGTTTAGGAATCCATTGTTTCTATATTGTGGTGGCCAAATGGTCTAGTGCGACCATAAGTCGTACCAGGACCAGCTGGTCGGTTGTTCGAATCCCATATTTGCCCCAATTATCATCCTTGGTTTGTCTGTAACATGTCCTTGGTCGAGGGTTTTATCAGCCCGCGTCAAGTTTCCAGTGTCTCCCATTCAGCTGATGTAACCAGTGGCCAAAGTTCAATCCTTCCATTAACGTCGACTGGAGCATTCGAATGTATATCTTGAGCGAAATGAAATCGCGAAACAGAAAAGAAAACTGACGTCACATTTTATATCTTAAGCAAAAAGGTATCAGCATATAGTTGATTGATAGTTACAATTATCTGATGATACAAAAAGACAATGTTGCATGTGCATTTGGTTACTATATTTACTGATGTGATTCAGTGTTGCATTATATCGTCCTCAGTAATGGGCTGACCAGCGTCTTAGATTCAATGGTGACAGTCTTTGTTTTAAGTGATTCCGTTGCCCATACTATACACGTTCTTGTTGTAGGAGAGAAAAATTAATTCGTGCCAGCAACATGTAGAAGGTATTTAATTTGAAGGAGGCAAAATCCATTCCGCTTAAATATTCTGTTTTAGTAAAGGCCCACGTGGACTTAAGTAATCCAACGTGACAACATTGTATTGTGCAGTTCAAGGCTTTGATTCCCGCGCACTATCGTCTATTTGTCTCTAATCAGTAATGCCAGGGGATTTTTACAAATCTCCAGCCTTTTGAATAACCGACGCCATTATATGATCTGAGATACTCTCATTTAAGGGCACAACGTTACACGGTGTGAGCTGGGCGGACGGTGGCTGGCATCTCGGCAAGGCTACCGCAGTATCCTCAGGCAGGCTTGTGATATAAGCCCTAGTAAGTCTGCTTGTTACAGATGTGACTTTATTCTCCTTTAGTAGATGTGACGCCAAGGGTTGAACAGCTGAGTGACGCCAAGGTTGACCAGCAAGTGACGCCAAGGTTGAGCACCAAGTGACGCCAAGGTTGACCAGCAAGTGACGCCAAACGTTGACCATCAAGTGACACCAAACGTTGACCTGCTGATATGATGGAGCGAATGAAGCAGTGGTTGGGGATATCCCGCGAGTCCAGCCCCACCCGGTCCCCGCCAGGGTCTCCGGCTTCCCACGCCCCAGTGAGTCACGTGACACGGCCCTCGAATGTCTCACCCAGGTAAGATTGGTGTCACTGCCGCAGCCCTGAGGATGACGTCACTACTCACCCGGTGTCTCCGTTCACCCTGTTGGCACCATGTTGGCACCATGTTCCACACATCGTCACCAATTTTGTTGTACCAAGAGTGTTCACTGTTGCACCGATGTAAGCCACTTGCACACTTCTATTGCTGTTCCTGACGTGACCTTCTGCTTCTAGTGGTCATCACTGCTCACTGCTTCTGGTTCCAGTGACGTCATGGACTTCTGTGTGGTTAATAGAAATTAATACACGAGTGTTTGTCTGATACCATTTATCGTACGAGTTGTTCCAGCGTCAACCATTTAACGTCGCGCGCTGGCGCGTGCGTGCGTGCGTGCGTGCGTGCGTGCGTGCGTGCGTGCGTGCGTGCGTGCGTGCGTGTGTGTGGGTATGTGTGTGGCTGCTTATACTAGTCCGGACTGGTGCCGATTTATAGTGCTAGTCCACTGAGATACAATGCCGCAGTTTAACATGAACACCCAACTCAGACACAGTATACTGACTCCGAGCCCCTTAATGCCGAGCGCCAAGCAAGGTAACAACAAGTGCCATCTTTTTACGTCTTTTCGTGTGACGTGACCGGATATCGAACCCCGGACCTTCCGCTCTCCGGGCGTACGCTCTACCACTAGACCACGGAGGCGGTCACATACGTTTTGAAACGGGTTGTAAAATTAATGGTAAGTTGACGGACACGAGCTTAGTAATCTGTTTCTTACACACCCTAAATTCACACCATGCATATGTTGTCTATTCTCATAGTCGCAATGGCGCATGAACACATAGCACAACGATCATGACTTCCGACCTACCGCTTACTACTCATACCTGGTGTGACCCTCCACAAACACGTTTCCGCCATATGGGTTATAGGCGATAATGTGAATGCAACACAGATCAGATTAAAGACCATTTACTTTACATTGGAAAACCATGTCTTTCGACACAGGCGTTGGTAGATTCGACTGAAGCACGAGAAACCTATCAATAAATTGCAATAACTAGTGTTTCATTATCTGACCTTCAGTCACTACCATGGATAGGACAACCACGGGCCTGGATTCCCCAAAACTCACATGTTTGACACCAGTTATGTCAAATGGGTTTCTCACAGGTGTGTACGATGTCGTGACCACGCTGCTCGTTATGCCTCATTATGTAGACATGGTGTATGTTTTCACTTTTTTCGTGTCACCCTCGCACGTGCTATGTCACTTGTGTTTGAGGATCGGACCAAGCAAAGCCTCGCTATGATCTCAACCCTTCTCCTATACTCCTGCACTGGAAGTTTTCAAGTGGCCTAAAACAGTGGAATCTGACTCACAACAGAACGGCCAGGTTCACTGGCTAAATTATTTAAATAAAGATATTTGACGATAGCAGACGTTTTTGGCCATGATAACAATGTGACTTGTTGAATACTAATGATAATGTTGCCATGATCATATTTGGAAAGCCAAATTGCAACCGTTTGTCCCGCTTGCGTGCCGTGTTGACAACGCGATGTTACCGATGTGCGGTTCAGCCTTCACCATGTGTCTCGCTTTCAAACCAGAACTGGCTAGCCCTAAGTGTGAAAAAGGGCACTAAACATCAGCTGCACCCGACTTTGTTTATACAACACGTCCATATTGTGGAGTTATCTCAAGAATTATTTATGTCACAAGAAACATAGTTAAAACATGATAAAAAATGAAACAATTTGGAGAGTCTATATTAAGAAACATAATTCCTGGCTTCATCGTGAATGTCAAGGTCTACGTAGACGTGGCTCCAGAAACGAAATCATGCAAATATAGTGCATTTTGTTTTATACATATTAGTATTAATGTTTTAAAAAAATGGTCGTTCACGAGTGATCATCTACCGTCGCACTTTCCCCGAGATCTTGCCGTCTACACCACACAATCTGAAAAATCTTATTAACATATTTGTTTTTTAATCTTCATAAAAGTTGTTTGGTTACGTTTAGTATCTCTTCTGGCAACAATTAACCATCGCCACCATTGCTGAACTTCTCACTCGTGATCCGATTGTTGTTGGAGGTACCCTTTCTGATTCAATTCTTCCATCTCCACCATTAACTGGTTCTCAGAAAACCATCTCTACCATTAAACTCAGTCAACCATCTTTGAAACTCAGTCAACCATCTGTGAAACTTTGAAATATGTAACATTTTAAGGTGTAATTGAAGTCTCAACACGTGTGCATGCTCATTTCTCACACGTGCATCAGGTGCGGTAATGTCTTGATTGTTCCCATTGTGGATCAGGGCTAGAAGAGATCCCCAGCAGCGTGTACGCCGTTGGCGGCATAAAACAACAGACAACAAATAGTTCAAGTGATGTCACCAGCACGTTATTCCCCAGTGGTGTGGGCAATGAGACTAAATCCGTCAGCCGTACATTAGAACAAGCGTCACCTGTATATCTAGATCATCCCTTCACAACAAGTATAGCGCGCATGTGGGTCATTGTCCAAAAATGTCAAAGTTTCACCACAGCAAAATAACAAACTGAGATATTTTCAAACTGGAATTTTATCATTTAAACCAAAACATAGTGCAATTAAGTATACATCCGTCAAATTGCAATCTTAATGGCTAAGAGTTTAAATGAAATAATGTCAACTTGGAACATGGAAGCTGTCAAGGATTCTATCCTGTTACCGATAAAAACTGTTTAGAAAATATTGTTTAAAATAAAAACATACTGTTACATAAATAAATTTACATCCAGAGAATACCGCACCAAATACTAGCACCCTTTCCATTCTCTTTTCAGCATCAACACTGTTTCGATTCTTCTCGTGCCTTCTTGTTTGACCCTTCACTTATAGTCCTCTGCATCTACCCTCTCATCGCTTCCTTCACTCCTCACTTCTACATCCCTTTCTTCTCCACTTTCTACTCCAAGATCAATTGTCTGCTTTAGTTTCTTTCTGTTTCCATCATTTTGAATTGCCTGATCCTCGCCATGTCCTTCTCCCCATGGTTCATGTTCTTCATCAACTCCTTTAGATAGGTAAGCCTGTCTTTCCATTGGATCAGCCTCTCGCCTTGCCCCATATTGTCGTTGCTTCTCTGCTTTTGAGACAGCCATGTTTCCTGTGGGAAAAAAAGCAACATTCTTTTATGTTGTTGTTTCACTACCAGAACATTCTATGATGTTACCAAAGTGTTCTATCCTGTTTCCGATTCAAACCATACGTGACAGAATTATATATTTAGATTTTTGTCTATAATGGATGTTCTACAATTATTTCAGGGTTTAATCTATCACTAATAAAACTGGGCCAAAATTACGACCAACTTCTGTTTCCATTTGGTGGACAGGAATTAAGTGCTAATGTGCATGATACCATGACACCATGATAACAGGAGAGAAAGTAGTCGGATGGACATACTATTATTACAATTTATTTCACATCCAATATGCCCCCCAAAAATATCACACTATTTAATAAGTTAAAAATAATTAATATCACACCAATGAAAAATAAGTTTCAAAAGGTTAAACTGAGCTGATATAAAGTCGGTTTATGAAAATGGGCATGCATTATTCCATATCCCTCAACTTGAGAAAACTTAAGACGTATATTGCGCACTGTAAAAATATATATAGTCTTGCTTAAAGGGCGTCATTTAACCAGTCATTTTGCTAAAAACTTTCTTAATAAAGCAATCATTGCGCGCAGGATGGGCCGGAGAGGAATTTTGACATTTTTGTACAATATCCCATGTACTTAGATTGCAGTCCCGTGAGGATTCCGGGGTAGAATATATCTTCAGCAACCCCTGCTTCTCGATCAAGGCGACTAACGGGATTGGGTGGTCAGGCTCGGACACTTGGTTGATGCATGCCATCGTATCCCAATTGCGAAGATCGATGCGCGCGAAGATCGAAGCGCATGATGTCAATCACTGGATTGTCCATACTCGAATATTTACAGACCGCCGTCATATAACTGGAATATTGCTGAGTGCGGCCTTAAACAACAAACAACAAACTTTGATTGCAGCAAACCTTGAATCTGAATTGCTCGATCTCCTTCCACTGGAACTCGCTATTGGTCAGTTAATAAATATATGCCACCTATATATAAGATATAGTTATAAGTTACTGACCAATGACGTGCTCATGTGTCTCCTTCACTAGTCGGCTCGTGTGTCACGACAACATCGATAGCTGTCTCCACGGGACCGTTCTGTGGCATTGGCGTATTTCAGACATGCGACACTTGTTCACTCGCAGAACAAAAGACAACAGAAACATGTCACCGAGGGATTCCAAATAACGAATACAGGTATCACGTGACGGCGATCCCAATGCTGCTGTATCACATGACGAGCCAGGAGTCCATCAAAGGGTCTGAGATTAGAAGTGTCGTGTTTCACGGGCATATGTTTGAAGGATTTCCATCACCTCTCTAGACACCAGCAGTTTCAGAGGGAAAACAGTGAACATTATTTCTTACACGTCACATTGAGAAACTAGCGATAGTTGCTAGTAGACAGTAGCGATAGTAGCTAGTAGACAGTAGCTAGTAGACAGTAGCGACAGCAGCTAGTAGACAGTAGCGATAGCAGCTAGTAGACAGTAGCTAGTAGACAGTAGCGACATCAGCTAGTAGACAGTAGCGACAGCAGCTAGTAGACAGTAGCGATAGTAGCTAGTAGACAGTAGCTAGTAGCTAGTAGACAGTAGCGATAGCAGCTAGTAGACAGCAGCTAGTAGACAGTAGCGATAGACTACAGAGTACAAAGTGGTGTAAAGTCAGGAGCGAGCTGAATGATACCTGGCCCTGTGGATATGAAAACTTATTATGTCTCAAAGTGAGACTGACCAGTCAGGGAGCAGATCCTGATCCCATTTGAGCCCGTATACCGTCAGTTAATATCGAAGATATAGTTGGTACTGACCTGATATGAGGCGTATACCGTTCAGGAAGAGCCATATTGGATTTTACAACATCCAGTTCACTGTTTGGTGCTTTTATGTCATCAACTGTGATGTGCAAGGATAATAATTTTTAAAAATCACCTTGATCACTTTATTATCATCAGATCATACGTTTTCGGACGGCCATGTTTATCGTGACTACACGCGCTATAACGAGGGGTGTAGCGTCACAAAGACATTGTAAATAATCAGATTATGGCTTGTTTTAAAGAGAAAATTATATATTTTAGAAATGAATGCGATGTTTTACAGTGATTAGAGAGAAATCTTCGAATGTTTTTTCAAGCGTCCGAAAACCCACAACACGAGCATAATAAAAGTTATAGAGTAGGCGACGTTATCGATTTTACATTTCAGATTGATATATAATTTGTAGCTAATCCCCAAAGGAACAAAACAACAAACAGCAGCATACGTTTACTGACTGTATGTATGAAAATAAATCTCACAACGGAGGTAACTGATTTACAAATAGCAACGTCATAGAACATAATGAATACGACGACGTCCCAAAAATGACGCCAATAGAATAGATAGCTGACGCCTCGCTAAATATTTTTTCTCCTAACCTAATAAAGACACCATATCAACTAATAATGCACTCGATCGTGAGGTATAGTACGTAAGGGGCGAACTGAATGATATCTGTCCGTCACACTGGGCTGCAGCGCATGCATTGCCGGTCAGTCCACAAATGTTGAGAAGTAAACAGCCCACGTCGATCGTCAACATGATGCGCGGTATGTTTTCCCGGTCCTCCTTGGTTTATTGGATTGTCCTTTGTACTGACAAGACGGTGTTACCGGTAGAGCATGACCTCATACAGAGTCACTTTAACCTAGTCGCAAACACGTCATATCATCACTCATGTCAGTGGTCCATTCATATAACTTTCAGTATTATTTGGCCTTCTATGCTGTCTGTTTCGGCAGATGTTCGAGACTAACTAGCCTCTTGCGTTGACGATTTAATGTAGGTACCAATGGGTAGGCCTGAAGACATGAGATTCATTCGTCTTTTGACACATTAAATTCATTAATAGGACATAAAACATTATTCATAGGAGTATGGTAGGACGTTCACCGAAGCCTTCGGTTGGATGGAGTGCGAAACTCATTATGACACACACGAGGCCTCCCTGTCATTAGTGTCCTGTACAACAGATCTCGATCGCCTGCGGTAGGAATATTTGCGGGATTTTACGAGCGCTGCGTCCATCTAGTGCAACACACGATTAATAATGAAATTTTCGTTGTGTTCATTGAAATTCCTGCATTCTGATTAACTGAATTGGTCACGTGTTATTGCATTCATTTCCCAATGAATGTAAAAAAATAAGCGACGCCCACCGAGGCGCACTACTTTTATTACTGCGGAATGTCGGGGAATCCCAATATTACAGTCGAGGGAATTTCCTTTCTGCTCACGTGTATCTTCATGCACGTGACATTTAGCGACATTCATGCATATTCATTGTCCAAACTACGGCCTACCTTTAGAATACAGTACCACAAAACTTTTCAAACACGTGACAATTAAGAATTGAACGTCAGTGTGGTGGGTTCATTGAAGTGTGAACGATTTTAAAGCGCTGGTTAAACACTGGTTAAACTGTGTGAACCTCCAGCGCTTTTAAATCGCCGAAGAACATTGCAACAACGTTATTTTGTCGGAATTTGTCGGCTCTCGGTCACATTCGTTTCCCCACTCATACTCAGTTACGCAAAGAAAAATAGTTATTTGAATATATACAGCATAATCTAGAATGTCAACATAATTTCATTCTCTGAACAAATATACAAACAATATTTGGGATAAATCAAATCTTAAAAATAGGTTACAGGAAGGTGAACAAAAATATAAACATGACCTCGATGCACCGAGGCGAGGTCAACCTTCACGCGCGGATTTATATATGACGTCACATAAGTTTGTAAAGAGGTGCATTTCGAGTTGAACGGGAGCATGAGGATGAAATTTATACTTACTGCTGTTGAAAATGAAGTTTATGGAGAAGTTATGGAAAACACCCCGACGCGTGAACCCTCTCATGGCACAATATCGCTCAATAAATCAATTTCGTTGACCTCAGTAATTTTACAGAATTAATTTCCTTTACTTGCGTTATTAGTATTGAAAGATAGCCATTCCATATCCAAATCACCGTAAGGATAATCCATTTTGTTTCCTGTAGCAGCTAGATGACATCAAACACGTCATCAAAGCGCTGGTTAAACTTTCGTGCTCGGAGGTTCACACAGTTTAACCAGCGCTTTAAAATCGTTCACACTTCAATGAACCCATCCACACTGACGTTCAATTCTTAAATGACTGTGTAGGCGCGTCAAGTTATTTGCATAAATTAAACGATCACCTGATCCATTTCACGCCACAGTACGTATTCATACACCTGGAATGTTTATCAATCTCTTTGTTTGATAGGCATTACTTAGAAGTTGACGGATGACAAGGTAGACACAATTTTATGCATAACAACTTCTTTAATTAATACTGTGAAAAGCGACGTTTCGGTATAGATCCTTATACCGTTGTCAAGCAAGACTACGTTTCGGTATAGATCCTTATACCGTTGTCAAGCAAGACTGTCTTGCTTGACAACGGTATAAGGATCTATACCGAAACATCGCTTTTCACAGTATTAAAGAAGTTGTTATCCATAAAATTGTGTCTATCTTTATCAATCTCGTCATATTTGTCTGCTTTGATATATATAACTGCCTTTGGTTAAACTATTGTAGATAAAACATGTTTTACGTTGTCGAATTTAATTATAACCATTGACTGTGTATTTTTTTTCAGTTCATTGAGGTATGAATTAAAAAACCGATGTGCAAACTTACGCGGATTCATACAGTTTGCACATCGGTTTTTCGATTCATACCTCAATGAACCGAGACCGCCTCCGTGGTCTTGTGGTAGAGCGTCCGCCCGGAGAGCGGAAGGTCCAGGGTTCGATCCCGATCCCGGGCTGCGTCATACAAAAAGACGTTAAAAGATTGTACTTGTTGTTACCCTGTCTGGCGCTCGACATTAAGGGGCTAAAACAAGGACTGGTCGGATCAGAGTCAGTATACTGTGTCTGAGTGGAGTATTCATGTTAAACTGCGGCATGGTATCTCAGTGAGCTAGCACTATAAATCGGCATCAGTCCGGACTAGTACAAGCAGCCACACACACACATACACGTGCATGCACGTCGCTATATAAGTGCAATAATCTTGGACGCGACGTTAAACCCAATTTCACCTCACCTCACCTCAATGAACCGAAAAAAATACACAGTCAATCCTTAAATATAAGGACTTTGACGGACACACAGTGTGATACTTTTATCCATCTATATTTACACCTTCTACTTACACTTCTATTTGCTTTCAGTAAGCCTAGATCTATCGACCAATCAGAAGTCAAGAAAGCAGAAATGGCGACATCGTCTTCCCTTCCGGCGCCCGCGCGACGTCGGTCAAGGTCAAAGTCACCAAGTAGACCTGGACGGCAGCGACAGACCAGCAGTGGAAGTCGAACTCTTGGACTGACAAAGACGTCTGACGACGAAACGTTCTTGCCACGGGCACATCAGAATCCCGAGTAAGTATAGATGTAATATATTCATCATTGGGAAGGGAGTAATCGTTCTGGTTTTGATTTTGACGATGTATGGTCAAGACTCAAATGTGGAAACGGAAACTGACCTCGGATCTGTAGACCCACTGGAGGTCTATCTGTAATGTATTGGTACTACGTCGTAAACCGCTTCTGGTTGTAAGGGCGTAGGGGTGCACCATTCTTCACCCAACATTTGATTAATACATTTTTCATTCATGTTGTCCTGTAAGATTTTTAAACATGTAACATCTGCAAGGCCGTAGTTAATTGTTTTTGACAGGGTGAGCAAATATTTGTACAAGTATCACTTATTACTTTATCACACATTACTTTACAGAATTATAGATCTAAGCCAAAAAAGGTTTCAAAGTAATTTTTCATTCAGTTTCATTTGCGGTCCCTATGAAAGCGTCTATTTGTCGTTTATTTACAATCATAGTTAGGGTATTCCATGATATTTGATTTTCCTGTTCCTTCTTGGCCTCTGAATACACCATGCCATTAAAACAAATGTTATATTTGGGATAACACTTTCTCAGTAAGGTACTGATTCTAGTACTTTTGTAGGTTGAGTCCCATTTTTGGCCTCTCTCTGATAACAATCCTGATCACAGCCAAATGTGATAGACTAGTAGACGACACTGTCTCTCTCCACTGAGATACAGCTTATAGTTAACATCTATATAGCCAGGAAATTCTCATTTTTCTTCTCTTATTTTGCAATTCCAAACTATCACTTATATTGTATTCATGCACATAGCTGAAACATTAATTGTTGTCATTTCAAGACATTATTAAGACTATTTTATACTAAATGTAATACAGTTCTATGTTTCTTTAATATAAATGGTGAAATTACAGTTCTTTCGCAATAAATAGCTGAAAACATCAATTTGACAGACTTCTCGGTTATCTCTATGAAAGTAATCACGTATGTCAGGAACAACTCAGACATGTTCTATAACATGTTGAGATTCAAATTAAGTCCCATCATTTTAATATAATTCATCATCCTTGATAATAGATTTTGAAAGAAATTCATAATGCCTTTAAGATATTTACAGCTCATCTTTTTTAAGACAAACAGTACTGCTGAAGGGGGTGTTGCTCGAACACTATATATTAGGGCTGTAACGATTCACCGATACCTACGATATCATCGATACTTAGATCATCAGTTTGTGATATTGCGATAGTCTAATAGAACAGAAACTAATAGATTTACCTCCCATAATGTAAGAAGCAGCATAGCACCACCTGTAAGCATGGCAAAAAACAAGGAGGAGGTCACTCTGACTTAACTGTTAAAAACAACAACCATCCATTCATTTAAAACTGATTTGTTCTTGTGTTTTTCTTTGTTAAAGTTTTTGAGTTAACATAAATAAATGTATGAAAAAGATTATTTTTTTAGCTGTATTTCAGTGATTTCATCATTGCTCACTATTTGAAGTGGTGTATCGTGATACCAGTAGTATCGTCAGTCCGTATTGTGATACAAATGGTATTGCGAGATACCAGGCCATACTCAGTTCTACTATATATACTTCTTTGTCATGGAGACCCTTACTGACTTAACTCCCTGGTAGCATGCAGATACTTACTGACTTAACCCCTGGTAGCATACAGACCCTTATTGACTTAACCCCTGGTAGCATACAGATACTTACTGACTTAACCCCTGGTAGCATACAGACCCCTACTGACATCTACTGACTTAACCCCCTGGTAGCATGCAGACCCCTACTGACTTAACCTCCTGGGAGCATGCAGACCCTTACTGACTTAATCCCCTGGTAGCATGCAGACCCTTACTGACTGAAATTCACTGGTAGCATGCAGACCCATACTGACTTATATCCCTGGTAGTATGCAGACCCCTACTGACTTAACCCACTTGTAGCATGCAGACCCCTACTGACTTAACCCCCTGGTAGCATGCAGACCCGTACTGACTTAACCTCCTGGTAGCATGCAGACCCTTACTGACTTTACCCCTGGTAGCATGCAGACCCTTACTGACTTGACCCCTGGTAGCATGCAGACCCCTACTGACTTAACCCCCTGGTAGCATGCAGACCCTTACTGACTTAACCCCCTGGTAGCATGCAGACCCCTACTGACTTTACCCCTGGTAGCATGCAGACCCTTACTGACTTTACCCCTGGTAGCATGCAGACCCCTACTGACTTAACCCCCTGGTAGCATGCAGACCCCTACTGACTTAACCCCCTGGTAGCATGCAGACCCCTACTGACTTAACCCACTGGTAGCATGCAGACCCATACTGACTTATATCCCTGGTAGTATGCAGACCCCTACTGACTTAATCCCCTGGTAGCATGCAGACCCCTACTGACTTAACACGCTGGTAGCATGCAGACCCCTACTGACTTAATCCCCTGGTAGCATGCAGACCCTTACTGACTTTACCCCTGGTAGCATGCACACCCCTACTGACTTAACCCCCTGGTAGCATGCAGACCCTTACTGACTTTACCCCTGGTAGCTTGCAGACCCCTACTGACTTTACCCCTGGTAGCATGCAGACCCTTACTGACTTTACCCCTGGTAGCATGCAGACCCCTACTGACTTTACCCCTGGTAGCATGCAGACCCTTACTGACTTTACCCCTGGTAGCATGCAGACCCCTACTGACTTTACCCCTGGTAGCATGCAAACCCCTACTGACTTAACCCCCTGGTAGCATGCAGACCCCTACTGACTTTACCCCTGGTAGCATGCAGACCCTTACTGACTTTACCCCTGGTAGCATGCAGACCCCTACTGACTTTACCCCTGGAAGCATGCAAACCCCTACTGACTTAACCCACTGGTAGCATGCAGACCCTTACTGACTCAACCCCCTGGTAGCATGCAGACCCTTACTGACTTAACCCCTGGTAGCATGCAGACCCCTACTGACTTTACCCCTGGTAGCATGCAGACCCCTACTGACTTTACCCCTGGTAGCATGCAAACCCCTACTGACTTAACCTCCTGGTAGCATGCAGACCCTTACTGACTTAACCTCCTGGTAGCATGCAGACCCTTACTGACTTAACCTCCTGGTAGCATGCAGACCCCTACTGACTTTACCCCTGGTAGCATGCAAACCCCTACTGACTTAACCCACTGGTAGCATGCAGACCCTTACTGACTCAACCCCCTGGTAGCATGCAGACCCTTACTGACTTAACCCCTGGTAGCATGCAGACCCCTACTGACTTTACCCCTAGTAGCATGCAGACCCCTACTGACTTTACCCCTGGTAGCATGCAAACCCCTACTGACTTAACCCACTGGTAGCATGCAGACCCTTACTGACTCAACCCCCTGGTAGCATGCAAACCCCTACTGACTTAACCCACTGGTAGCATGCAGGCCCCTACTGACTTAACCCCCCTGGTAGCATGCAGACCCCTACTGACTTAACCCCTGGTAGCATGCAGACCCTTACTGACTTTACCCCTGGTAGCATGCAGACCCCTACTGACTTAAATTCGCTGGTAGCATGCAGACCCTTACTGACTTAACCTCCTGCTAGCATGCAGACCCTTACTGACTTTACCCACTGGTAGCATGCATACCCTTACTGACTTAATCCCCTGGTAGCATGCAAACCCCTACTGACTTAAATTCGCTGGTAGCATGCAGACCCCTACTGACTTAAATTCGCTGGTAGCATGCAGACCCCTACTGACTTAATCCCCTGGTAGCATGCAGACCCTTACTGACTTAACCTCCTGGTAGCATGCAGACCCTTACTGACTTAACCTCCTGATAGCATGCAGACCCTGACTGACTTAATCCCCTGGTAGCATGCAGACCCCTACTGACTTAAATTCGCTGGTAGCATGCAGACCCTTACTGACTTAACCTCCTGGTAGCATGCAGACCCCTACTGACTTAACCCCCTGGTAGCATGCAGGCCCTTACTGACTTAATCCCCTGGTAGCATGCAGACCCTTACTGACTTAACCTCCTGGTAGCATGCAGACCCTTACTGACTTAATCCCCTGGTAGCATGCAGACCCCTACTGACTTAACCTCCTGGTAGCATGCAGGCCCCTACTGACTTTACCCCTGGTAGCATGCAGACCCTTACTGACTTAATCCCCTGGTAGCATGCAGACCCCTACTGACTTAACCCCCTGGTAGCATGCAGGCCCTTACTGACTTAATCCCCTGGTAGCATGCAGACCCTTACTGACTTAACCTCCTGGTAGCATGCAGACCCTTACTGACTTAATCCCCTGGTAGCATGCAGACCCCTACTGACTTAACCTCCTGGTAGCATGCAGGCCCCTACTGACTTTACCCCTGGTAGCATGCAGACCCATACTGACTTATATCCCTGGTAGTATGCAGACCCCTACTGACTTAATCCCCTGGTAGCATGCAGACCCCTACTGACTTAAATTCGCTGGTAGCATGCAGACCCTTACTGACTTTACCCACTGGTAGCATGCAGACCCCTACTGACTTAACCTCCTGGTAGCATGCAGGCCCCTACTGACTTTACCCCTGGTAGCATGCAGACCCTTACTGACTTAACCCACTGGTAGCATGCAGACCCCTACTGACTTAACCCACTGGTAGCATGCAGACCCCTACTGACTTAACCCCCTGGTAGCATGCAGGCCCCTACTGACTTAACCCCCCCCCCCCCCCAGTAGCAAGCAGAACCCTACTGACCCCTAACCCCCCCCAGTAGCATGCAGACCCTTACTGACCCTTACTGACTTAACCTCCTGGGAGCATGCAGACCCTTACTGACTTAATCCCCTGGTAGCATGCAGACCCCTACTGTCCCCTACTGACTTAACCCCCTGGTAGCATGCAGGCCCCTACTGACTTAAACCCCCGTCCCCCCAGTAGCAAGCAGAACCCTACTGACCTAACCCCCCCAGTAGCATGCAGACCCTTACTGACTTAACCTCCTGGTGGAATGCAGACCCCTAAAGACCCTGACTGACTT